AGTAGGAATTCTCGTGCTTGGAAGGGAGTAGGCTTGAAAAGAGACGAAATCTGGGATGTGTAGGATCAGCTCTAGAAATTAAGGTGTGGCCCTGGTTTTGTCCATGACCTAAGAAGAGAACTCTGAACAGATAGTGAAGGTCGACACTGATCACTTCTTGAGAAGTACAGAACCGAGCAGAAGCCGCCCTGGAAATTATTGCCCAAGTAAGAGAAAAATGTGGACAGGGTCACTGCTGAAAAGGTGTAACTGATTCTGAAGAATGTTAGGAAAACTTTTATTAAACCATAATAAACACATAGAAAAGGATGTTCTAAGGACTGTGCCAGATAGAGCCTGAGCTCTTATGGAGCTGATGTTACAATGAAGAAATGCATGAGGAAATGAATAAATAAAGCAAATTACCCTTTTTCTCTCATTCAGCAACCTGTGCATAGCTCTTTGTCTCTGCTCCATTTCCTGGTAAACCTACTTAGATATTTCCTCTTGGACACATTCAACTAAATGTTCTAATAGATGATCCCGCTGTCTATGACTTTATTATGTATTGTTAACTCCTCCCTTTTCTAGGCTTTTAAGTATTACAATACTATTTCCATCTGGTTCTTACATTTAATTCCCTCCCTACTCATATAAAGGCCTGTAGGTCAAATTTCTCTAAAGGTATGTTAATTTACTAATATGAGTTCAATCTCAATTCCAGTTCTCTAATCAGTGTTTAGGTACTTCAGTGTTTCCTCTCAAAGGTAAGCCCACTTCAGGTTAATCCTAAGGCTACTACAATGCAATTCGTTAACTGTTACTGTATTTTTAAAAAGTATTAAACATGGGTTCAAGAACCCTTACTTGGTAAAATATTCCAATAGAAACAAAACAGATATTTGTTAAACAGAATGAAATAAATTAGCTTAGTTTATCTGGTTATAAGAATTTGGAGGTAATAACAAAATGGTACTTCTTTTAAAAGAAGTTCAGACTTGCACTGATTTAGAGTGACATCTTGTCCAGCTGACCTAAATTGGTGATGCTCTGTCCTATTTATAGCACACACAGCTTTTGAATTAGGACAAAGAAAAGGGAAAGGGGACATTTTCTCAGGATTGACGTTTGTGATATTTTAAAACCAAATCACCTAGGAATTGGAACTGTGTTTGATCAGTTGTATTTTAACAAGTTCAACAGGGTCATGAGAATATAAGAAATGTCTAGTTCACATGGCCCCAAATTTTCTTATCAGAGACTGAGAGGGTCTGGTTAAACTGCACCAAGATACATAGAGTTTTTAATATGAATTTTTAAAGTCATGTTTTAAAATACTATTTAACCTGTGCAAATGACTGTGAGAAACATTAATAATCCTAAAACTGATTAGAGAGTTGGGATAAAAGTTTCACTGATAATAGGCAATTAGCTATGATTTAGAATATCTGGTGATATAAGCAAGGGTGAATTACGATGTTTTAAGACTTATTTACTAGCCAAAATAATCAGTGGAAAGAGAGACTGGGATGGATCTATGGGTTAAAAAAAATCTGACAGTAGAGGGTGGACATTAAGAAGCCAATGTCAAATTCTGTGTTTATGTCCTAGAGTAGTGAGGAACTGCATAAATATTGCTTTCTTCTATCATTTAAATCAATTTCAGTACTTGGTATTACTAGAGAGGAAACTGTACTCATTTATATTATGACACATCCCCGTGAGTATAGTCTTCCCTTTAAGATGAGGTAAAGTACAGATTCACACGATTTAGTCCTCAGGAAGGAGAGAAAGGTGGCTATGGTTGACAAGTGTCTTTGTGGGCAGGGTGTTAAGAGGGAGGGTGGACATGGTAGGAAGTTGTCCTGGGTACTGACAGGGTTATACTTGAGCAGAAGTGAAAAGTAAAGGAAGTTCACATTTGGAAACCCCAGTCTCTAGCTTTGTTCTTTGCTGGGTACCTCTATCTCTCCTCTCCTCTCTACTGAAGTTGAAAAAGGTACATGCTTTTTATGTTCTCAGGAGATGAGTAACCCACATAGTCTCTTTCTCCAAGCCATCTTGGTATTCATTCACACCCAGGTGAAAGTGATAAATAACAGCTTAAAATCTTACTTCTACTATAATGTAGCTAGGAATTTAAAAAATACACCAGATCTCAGGGAGACAATTTTGAAAGACTATCAAAGGGTATAAAAGAAAATCTTCCATAGAAGAGAGATAGATGGTAAATGCTCTGGGATGGGATGAATTTATGTTATAAAGATGCTAATTCTTCCCAAATTAATCTTTACATTAAATGATATTCTAAAGTTTCTGCTGCATTTTTCTAGAAACTTGACAAATCTATTATAAAATTTATGTAAAATATATACAAAAATTTCATGAATAGTTAAGCCAGCCTTGAAAAAGTAAAGAAAAGAAGGTAGACTTTCCTGTCTAGATATAATGACACTCCTCAGTAATAAAAAATATGGAACTAGCTCAAGAACAAAAAGGGAAAAATAAATAAACCAGTGTAACAAAACAGAGAGCTCAAAGATAGCTACTTATAAATGGGAAATTCACATATGATAGAGGACTCACTGTTTAGTAAACTGTGTTGGGAAAACTGGCTCGCTATGTGGAAAAAATAAAACTGATTCCCTACTTCCCATCAGCTACACAAAGGCATTAAAAACCTGATTGTGAAAGGCAAAATTATAGGGTAAATGAAAGAAAAGACAGAGGAATATCTTTGTGACCTAGGGATGGAGGGAGATTTTTACACAAAGCCTCGAGAAGCACAAGCCATATAATGAAAAATAATGTTTTACATGACATCCAAATTACATTTTCTGTTCAACAAAGGACAAGTAGAAAAAGTTAGTAGACAGGACACAAATTGGGAGAAGAGTTGCCTACAACCAAAAAGAGAATAATATATAAAATATACACGGTACTCTTACAAATCATCATCAACAACAATAAAAGACCAAAGCCCATTAGAAAAATGGGCAATTGATGTAAACAATCAATTCATAAAAGGAAACCCAAGTGGCTGCAAATGTATGAAAACTGCTAATTAAAACAACAATGAAGGCTTCCCTGGTGGCGCAGTGGTTGAGAGTCCGCCTGCCTATGCAGGGGACACGGGTTCGTTCCACGGTCCAGGAAGATCCTACATGCCACGGAGCGGCTGGGCCTGTGAGCCATGGCCACTGAGCCTGCGCGTCCGGAGCCTGTGCTCCGCAACGGGAGAGGCCACGACAGTGAGAGGCCCGCGTACCACAAAAAAAAAAAAAAAGCATATAATTCAATAATATCAGAACTTATTTTCCCCAGGAACAAAATTATGTATGTTTGTAAGGTTCCCAGGCAAACAAACAAAAGCCTATTTAATCCATTATATTTCTTAACTCTATACATAGGGCTTAACTCTACATAGAGTTAAGAGCTTAACTCTTAACCCTAATGCTAATATAATTATACAGAGATCTGGACAAAAATGGTCATATCTTATTAACAGGAAATTGGAAAAGAAGAGTTTCCTCATCTTGGGCTCATGAACAACCACAAGAAGACGTGGGCAATGGGTCTAGTTTTTATTTACCCACCTTAACCTTCTCTTTTTCCTAAGACCACCTTCCCAAATGCTCAACGTCCTCATGCTGTCCTAAGCCTTTACTGTGGCTCCTTGCCTAGGTCTGTGCCATCTCACAAAATGCTCAAGTTTCTACAATTATTCACATCCCTTCTTTGATGTTCCTGATCTGAACTCGTTGTGAAGAGAAATATCTGATCAAACTACTTTGCATGAATTCACATTCCTTCCCTTAGCAATAGATTAGTGTACTTGCTCCCTGCTCCCACCCATTGGGAGGGTTTCAGTCTAGTTTTTAGGTATTATATAGAATTCAATGTATTTTTAATAAAGTCTACATGTAATAACTAAATTGCAAGATTCTCTTCTTTAGACCATCATATATATAATAAAAAATGTTATAAGGTTTTTGGAAAATTTTTTTGAGACTTGTGTGTTGTTTAGAAGTAGTGCAGGTAAAATTTTATGATGAACTACTGTATTTATTATATTCTTTTTTTTCAATCTTTATTGAAGTATAATTGCTTGTATTCTTAAAATACTTGCATGTTAAGAAAAATAGCGATCAGATTGTTCAGCATTAATACTTCCAAACTTAAACTGATATTGATTATAATTTAATGAAAACATTTAAGGTATATTTGCATCTAGTATAATTGTTATGATCACTTAAAAAAAGTCACAGAACGGGAGGAAAACAGTGCTTAGATTAGCCAAAACTGTTATTTTTAAAATGTAAGTCTTCTTCAGGACTCAGCATATTTTAAAAAATGAGATAAAATTATTTTTTGAAAATGGAATTATCCTCAAGCTGTCATTACTGTTTATTTTAAAGCAGAGGATGTAGTGCTTTATTTTTGATCACCTCCAATGAGATAAGAATCTATGAAGCTGGTAGGAAAATGAGTTCATGACCAAAATGCTTACTCACTGACTATAGGAAATCAAAAACTATTATACTAAACCTGGAACCTACAAAGCAAAGCAATTGTTTTCTTTGAAAAGTATGTAGGGTTTGGAAAATTTCTGGGATTTGTCTGTACAAGCATCCTCTGGGCCCTAAAAGTGACGTTTTATGGAAATGCTGGCGTATCAAGTTGGGAAAGCTAGGAAGTGGTGCTTTGCGGGTTCCTATGGTGGTTAGGTAGTTCTCAGAAGACAGCACTGGAAATTAGATAATTGCTGATGTCATATTTTTCACACACACAATTTGGTGTCCTGGGCGCTATAAAAGCAGCATCTTCTACCTTCCCATCACAAGCAGAATCATTGAAAGCAACAGGTAAGTCCTCCAACAAACTTGGTATGCATGCTTGTTTGTTGGGTGTGACACTTCTTGAGACTTACTTTTTTCCTTTATGTTGTTTTTGCTTCTTGTTCTCTTGATACCATGTTCTCCTTCCCTAGTCACCAGTTGCTCGAGTTTGTGTTGTCTACAATGGCTGCCCGGCAGAAATCTATGAGCGCTTCCCTTATGGGGACTCTGGCGGCCAGCTGCCTCCTCCTCATGGCCCTGTGGGTGCAGGGAGGAGCGGCTGTGCCCATTGTGTCACCGTGCAGGCTCGACAGGGCCAACTTTCAGCAGCCTTACATCACCAACCGCACCTTCGCGTTGGCTAATGAGGTACTCATCTCACTCTTTCTCTCTTTCTTTTGCATCCTTATCTACCTGGAACCTGAATAGTTCTTAAAGTTTCTTCAGAGCACATCTAAGATCTTTAAGAAACCAACATTTATCTCTACTGGTAGACCAGCCATCATATTCTCTGTCTCTTCTGAGACTTTGTGGAGATCTTCCAATGTACGCCTTTAGGATGCATACATTGAGTTTTACCCTGAAAGGAGCCATTTAGTAGCTCATCTTACTATTTATTTTTCCCTTTATTCCTCTAAGCATTATTTTATTTTACTTTATTTTATTTTATATTTTGAAGAGAAAGAAAATGACATTTATTGAGCACTTACTATATTATGAACTCTATGCTAGGAGCTTTAAATCCATTTTTTTTTAAAACTGAGGTATAGTTGATTTACGATATTATTTAAGTTTCAGGTGTACAGCACAGTGATCCACAATTTTTAAGGATTTATAGTTATTATAAAATATTAGGTATATTACCTATGCTGTACATTATACCCGCATATCTTATTTATTTATTGAAGTCTAGTTGATTTACAATGTCGTGTTAGTTTCAGGTGTACAGCACAGTGATTCAGATATATACATGTATATATATATATATTCTTTTTCAGATTCTTCTCTCTTGTAGGTTATTACAAAATATAGTTTCCTGTGCTATACAGTAGGTCCTTGTTGGTTATCTGCTTTATATATAGTAGTGTGTGTATGTTAATCCCAAACTCCTCATTTATCCTTCCTCCCAACACCTGAGCATTATTTTAAACTCATGCACATATCTGAATCCTTTCTTTAGTCCTTATGTGGCTGCTCTGGGGAGAGGGGATAGAGTACAGCTCTACTTACAGACATTTCTTCTAGCTCCTTGACATCCAGGCACTTAGTCTTTTCTTCTCTTCCAGGCTAGTTTGGTAGATAACAACACAGATGTTCGTCTCATTGGGAGCAAACTGTTCCAGGGAGTCAAGGTAAGCCATAGGCATGATGCCACTCGTGGTTGTTTGGAGCGGTGGTGAGGATGGGTTGGGTCTTCTGAATGTCGCCTAATATGAGCCCTGCTGTTTCACTTTCACCAACAGATGATGGAGCGCTGCTGTATGCTGAAGCAGGTGCTGAACTTTGCCCTTGAAGAGGTGCTGCTCCCCCAATCCAATAGATTCAAGCCCTACATGCAGGAGGTGGTGCCCTTCCTGGCCAGGCTCAACAAAAAGCTAGGCCAATGCGTAAGTTCCTTTCCCAACCTAAGTCCACCCGCTCCCAGGTGCCCACCCTCTCTCTTTCTTCTTCATGGAGCCCTTTTCTTTCCCACCCTCGTTTGTTGCCCCTCCCATGCTGGCAGTTAGAAGTGCCTCAGTAACACCATTACAGGAATCATTGGGAGTCACAGAATGTTTATTTTTGCTTTAATTGAGTCACACTTTGAGTTGATGGTGATGGACAGGGTCTGAAAGACCACATGGAGCTTATTTGTCCCTGGAAAAAACCAATTTGGGTTATGTGAGATGAGAAGGGAGTTGGGAGCTGTAAGGAAAAATACCAGTTGGTGCAAATGAATCCACCGAGTATAAGTTGATGGAGGGAGGGAACTGGAAAGAGAGAAAGAGGGAAACAAGATTTAATATTTGGTGGTGGGTGGGTGAAGACTGCTGCGCTTTTGATATGGGAAGTGACAAAATCAGAGGTGTGTGAACTCGATGCCTCTGAACATTTAAAACTATGAAAAAAGATTTGAGTGGAGTGAGCAGAGCAAAGGGGGCCTAGTATTTATTGCAGAGGGCCCTGTTCACATAAGATGCTTTATGTATGTTTCTTGTTCTGAGCACGCATTTTTGATGAGGTGCAGTTATGGTTTTATTCTTGACAGGATTTGCATAAACCACTCCACTCTTTCCACAAACTTCAACCTCAGTAGGGTTTCCCAAAAGTGAAGTGAGGTCCCATGTAATAGAAATGACTGGACTTTGGTGTCCAAGGAAATTCAAGAGCTCAGAAAATCTAGGCCACTGGTGAAATCTAGGTCATTGTGGGCAAAATTGCTAAGCACATTAATTCCAGGTGAATGTAACTTACCTCATTTAGGGGCGCTGAGGTTCAAAAAGCCTCAGTACAGCTGTGTTAAAATTGTTACTCTGGTTTTCATTTTGTAGCATATGGAGTGTGACAACCAGAATATCCAGAGAAATGTACAGAATCTGAAGGACACAGTGAAAAAGGTACTACTAATAACTGTTAATGCTAAATCATTTGCTAGAAGAGACAATGTTGTTTTCCTTTCCTTTCTTTTCTTTCCTTTTTTTCCCCCCATGTCATGACTTTTTACTTGATTCTCCTGCCATTGGGTTGACTATTTAGGTGCATATGTGTTTAGATGTGTCTATATGTTTATAAGTCAATTTCCAAATTTTGCAAATCATAGAATTCTAGAACTGGTTAGGAACTTAAATCATCTAATCTCATCACCCCATATGCCACTCACTGGCAGAGTCAGAATAGAATGCATGTCTTCTGAATCCCATCCAGGCCAGAAGCAATGGATATTATGTTTAGTCTCATTAATTCTAAGGGAAATTTAAGATTCCTACTGATTCATTTAATCTGAAGAAGCATTTGTTCAAAACCAGAAAAGTGTCTGGGGGTAAATTTATTTGAAATAATTTTTGAAGTCATTCATTTGAAGATTTAAAACTTGGAGAAATATACCCAGAACAACCATAACAAAAGAGCTGGACGTGCATATAGGATGAATTTCTGGAATGATTGATACTTACATTTAACTGTTATAATATAATACCCAATATCTATTGATTTTAACTTAAAAGCAAAAGTGAACAACCCCCAGTTTCTTTTACACCGTTTCAAATAGAATGAAAATACTAGTAACGGATTCATTATAGGGAAATGAAAGTCCGAGCTGGAAACGCTCTTTTCTTCCTCTCTCATTTTCCTTCCTTTCTAGTCTCCTCCTTCCTTCAACAATGCCCTAGTGAGCATCTATCTGGTATAGGTTAGTGTATATTTCGACAGTGAAAGATATTGTCAAGTGGCCTATTTGAGGAAAAGAACAATGGTGGAAGGCTCAGGCCAGCAACTGTGACTCGTCCAAAAACCAGAGGTATGATTAGTAGCAGCAAAAGTGTTGATTTGGCAAGCAGGTACAATGAAACCTCAGAAACATGAAGGCTCTAGTTGATGGAATTTTCAGGAACAAGCGTAACCTCAATTCCCCCTTTTTTCCATCTTGATGTTTTTTATAAAAAGTCTTTCTTCCTGAACATGCTTTAATGAACGTGTCTGGCTCTTTCTTTGATAACTGAAGGATTTGTTGTTTTTCATTGTGAAGATCAACTCTCTTTTTATAGAATCATTAGCTAGACGTGGAGGGCTGAATATTAGCATGACATAGCTAAGAAGTACTTTGCGCTTCTGGTTTGAAAAATCCCTCATGTCGGCTTACTTTTTTGTCTTTAGAAAAGTGAAGTGTGGGAGAGAAAAATCTGCTGGTGATCTGTGTGGGAAAACAGGTTTTAAATCTTTTAATCCATTTTGAGAGAATTGACTTTCACGTTTGCAACAGGTTGCCACGTGGAAGAGTGGTTATGCTTTTGTTTTTCCCTTTAGCTCCAGAAAGCATAGTGAGAGGAATGTTATTCAGACAAATCGCAGCATGAGGAAAAACTGGTCAACGCTGTCTGAAACGGGAGGGTTGTCTTGGGGGGTAGTAATTCCGTCACTGGAGGTAAAAGCAGAGAGCAGTCTATAGCAGAACGGATGACACACAGTAGGGCAAGAGAAGCTTTAAAATTCTTTATAATCTTGGGAGTCTTTGAGATATAAAAATGATCTCTTGGCATTATGTCAAAGGAAGTATGGAAAGATGGAATGGTGGAAGAAAGCAGGAAGAGAAAGGAGACCGCAATCTAGATGACACTGATGACTTAGGGTTGTTGTTTTCTTTGAGGTAATCTTGAGCACATTTAATAGATTAGATGAATTTCAGAGGAGGATGATTTGGACTTGAACCTGGGTTCCCTCACCCATGGAGTTTGAAAGCTTCATTTGCCTGCTGCTTGGAAGGAGGAGGAAAGAAGGGGTGTTAGAAGTCGTATCTGGCCCTCTACTCTTAAAGCAACTGGATAGGATGCATTTGGTATTTTCCCCATAAATGTGAAAACGTGTTTTTTCTACCCCTCGGTCAAGAAAGTGGAAACAGAAAAAGCCCATGTGTATTGGTGATGTGCAGTTTGGATTCAAGGGTGTTTGAAATAAGTGGTTATATGTAACTGATTGGTCATAGACAGTAGTGGGCCTGGGAGGTAGGGCAAGGAGGATGAGTGGCACTCTGGGTCCCCCAGATCCCAGCACAGCCTCTATCTGCTTGCTCTGGTTAGGAAGTGGTTTGAAACATCATCAGCTTAGATTGATGCCCACAGGTGCCCTCTCAGTTCACATAGCCATACTTTTAAAGTCTTTGGCAAATCACGTACACTTGCTAAAAGGGTATTATTACTGATCTTTTACAAAAGGCTAAACCTTGGTTTCTGTCCCAGCAACCTAACCATCTCATCTCCCTCTAATTCGTTTCTCTTTAGAAAACATGGTATAAATGCTGAAATACTTGTGTGTTCTTATTTTCACAGCTTGGAGAGAGTGGAGAGATCAAAGTAATTGGAGAACTGAATTTGCTGTTTATGGCCCTGAAAAATGAATGCACTCGTCCAGGGCAAAGCTCAGAAATGGATAACTAACGCTTCTTGCCTGTTAGAAATAACAATAAGATCCCCTGAGGTTTTCTTTTAACAAAAGAAAAAGGGGACGCCAAACTCCACAGTCCTGTGTGGATTCTAAACAAACCCCTGCTTAGCTTAAAAAAGAGAACAATGTCACTTGTATCCATACGACCAGAAGGTAGACCTTCCAAGCGTAACGAGATCTATTAATAGATAACATTTTATCGTAGTTGGTGTTTTATACACAGAAATTTAATTTTTAAGCAGTTGTCTATTTCCCCACAAAAAAGATTACTTTCCCATCTCTTTAGGGAAAAAGCCCCTAAATAATTTCATTTCCATAATCAATAATTTATATTTATGAATTAATTTATTGTTATAAGTACCTGTCTTATTTATGTCATTTTACTAATATGGGTTTATTTATAGAAGCATTATAAGATATTTCTACTTAATATAAGGCTAATATTAATATTTATGATAATAATTATGGAGCTATGTATGATATGTTTATTTTATCTCAATAAACACTTCTGTATCCTAAATCTTGTGGCTTTGTGATTTTTCCCCCCTTTAATATTACCACCACCACCACCATCATCATCATCGTGTAATCATTTCTATTTGCTAAATGGGCCCAGAACCTGTATAAATGATCTTATTCCTGACTCTAAGTAAATGAGGTGGCTATTAGTATTATCCACATTTTACGGATGAGAAAACTGAATCAGAAACATGTTAAAAAACATTGTGTCACTATAAGCAGTGGACCCTTATTAAAGCTAGGTCTAACTGATTTCTGGGGGAATCTGTTATACTACCTATATAGACTTGTTTTTTTTTTTTTTTCATTTTAACATCTTTATTGGAGTATAACTGCTTTACAATGGTATGTTAGTTTCAGCTTCACAACAAAATGAATCAGTTATATATATACATATGTTCCCATATCTCTTCCCGCTTGTGTCTCCCTCCCTCCCACCCTCCCTATCTCACCCCTCCAGGCAGTCACAAAGCACCAAGCTGATCTCCCTGTGCTATGCGGCTGCTTCCCACTAGCTATCTACCTTGCGTTTGGTAGTGTATATATGTCCATGCCTCTCTCTCGCTTTGTCACAGTTTACCCTTCCCCCTCCCCATATCCTCAAGTCCATTCTCTAGTAAGTCTGTGTCTTTATTCCTGTTTCACCCCTAGGTTCTTCATGACATTTTTTTCCCTTAAATTCCATATATATGTGTTAGCATACGGTATTTGTCTCTCTCTTTCTGACTTACTTCACTCTGTATGACAAACTCTAGGTCTATCCACCTCATTACAAATAGCTCAATTTCGTTTCTTTTTATGGCTGAGTAATATTCCATTGTATATATGTGCCACATCTTCTTTATCCATTCATCCAATAATGGACACTCAGGTTGTTTCCATCTCTGGGCTATTGTAAATAGAGTTGCAATGAACATTTTGGTACATGACTCTTTTTGAATTATGGTTTTCTTAGGGTATATGCCCAGTAGTGGGATTACTGGGTCATATGGTAGTTCTATTTGTAGTTTTTAAAGGAACCTCCATACTGTTCTCCACAGTGGCTGTATCAATTTACATTCCCACCAACAGTGTAAGAGGGTTCCCTTTTCTCCACACCCTCTCCAGCATTTATTGTTTCTAGATTTTTTGATGATGGCCATTCTGACTGGTGTGAGATGATATCTCATTGTAGTTTTGATTTGCATTTCTCTAATGATTAGTGATGTTGAGCATTCTTTCATGTGTTTGTTGGCAGTCTGTATATCTTCTTTGGAGAAATGTCTATTTAGGTCTTCTGCCCATTTTTGGATTGGGTTGTTTGCTTTTTTTGTTATTAAGCTGCATGAGCTGCTTATAAATTTTGGAGATTAATCCTTTGTCAGTTGCTTCATTTGCAAATATTTTCTCCCATTCTGAGGGTTGTCTTTTGGTCTTGTTTATGGTTTCCTTTGCTGTGCAAAAGCTTTGAAGTTTCATTAGGTCCCATTTGTTTATTTTTGTTTTTATTTCCATTTCTCTAGGAGGTGGGTCAAAAAGGATCTTGCTGTGATTTATGTCATAGAGTGTCCTGCCTATGTTTTCCTCTAAGAGTTTGATAGTTTCTGGCCTTACATTTAGGTCTTTAATCCACCTTCAGCTTATCTTTGTGCATGGTGTTAGGGAGTGATCCAATCTCATACTTTTACATGTAGCTGTCCAGTTTTCCCAGCACCACTTATTGAAGAGGTTGTCCTTTCTCCACTGTACATTCCTGCCTCCTTTATCAAAGATAAGGTGACCATATGTGCGTGGGTTTATCTCTGGGCTTTCTATCCTGTTCCATTGATCTATATTTCTGTTTTTGTTCCAGTACCATACTGTCTTGATTACTGTAGCTTTGTAGTATAGTCTGAAGTCAGGAAGCCTGATTCCTCCAGCTCTGTTTTTCGTTCTCAAGATTGCTTTGGCTATTTGGGGTCTTCTGTGTTTCCATACAAATTGTGAAATTTTTGTTCTAGTTCTGTGAAAAATGCCCATGGAAGCTTGATAGGGATTGCATTGAATCTGTAGATTGCTTTGGGTAGTAGAGTCATTTTCACAATGTTGATTCTTCCAATCCAAGAACATAGTCTATCTCTCCATCTATTTGTATCATCTTTAATTTCTTTCATCAGTGTCTTATAATTTTCTGCATCCAGGTCTTTTGTCTCTTTAGGTAGGTTTATTCCTAGATATTTTATTCTTTTTGTTGCAGTGGTAAATGGGACTGTATTCTTGATTTCACTTTCAGATTTTTCATCCTTAGTGTATAGGAATGCCAGAGATTTCTGTGCATTAATTTTGTATCCTGCTACTTTACCAAATTCATTGATTAGCTCTAGTAGTTTTCTGGTAGCATCTTTAGGATTCTCTATGTATAGTATCATGTCATCTGCAAACAGTGACAGCTTTACTTCTTCTTTTCCAATTTGGATTCCTTTTATTTCTTTTTCTTCTCTGATTGCTGTGGCTAAAACTTCCAAAACTATGTTGAATAAGAGTGGTGAGAGTGGGCAACTTTGTCTTGTTCCTGATCTTAGTGGAAATGCTTTCAGTTTTTCACCATTGAGGACGATGTTGGCTGTGGGCTTGTCATATATGGCCTTTATTATGTTGAGGAAAGTTCCCTCTATGCCTACTTTCTGCACGGTTTTTATCATAAATGGGTGTTGAATTTTGTCAAAAGCTTTCTCTGCATCTATTGAGATGATCATATAGTTTTTCTCCTTCAATTTGTTAATATGGTGTATCACGTTGATTGATTTGCATATATTGAAGAACCTTGCATTCCTGGAATAAACCCCACTTGGTCATGGTGTATGATCCGTTTAATGTGCTGTTGGATTCTGTTTGCTAGTATTTTGTTGAGGATTTTGCATCTATGTTCATCAGTGATATTGGCCTGTAGTTTTCTTTCTTTGTGACATCCTTGTTTGGTTTTGGTATCAGGGTGATGTGGCCTCGTAGAATGAGATGGGGAGTGTTCCTCCCTCTGCTATATTTTGGAAGAGTTTGAGAAGGATACGTGATAGCTCTTCTCTAAATGTTTGATAGAATTCACCTGTGAAGCCATCTGGTCCTGGCCTTTTGTTTGTTGGAAGATTTTTTAATCACAGTTTCAATTTCAGTGCTTGTGATTGGTCTGTTCATATTTTCTATTTCTTCCTGATTCAGTCTTGGCAGGTTGTGCCTTTCTAAGAATTTGTCCATTTCTTCCAGGTTGTCCATTTTATTGGCATAGAGTTGCTTGTAGTAATCTCTCATGATCTTTTGTATTTCTGCAGTGTCAGTTGTTACTTATCCTTTTTCATTTCTAATTCTATTGATTTCAGTCTCCTCCCTTTTTTTCTTGATGAGTCTGGCTAATGGTTTATCAATTTTGTTTATCCTTTCAAAGAACCAGCTTTTAGTTTTATTGATCTTTGCTATCGTTTCTTTCATTTCTTTTTCATTTATTTCTGATCTGATTTTTATGATTTCTTTCCTTCTGCTAACTTTGGGGTTTTTTTGTTCTTCTTTCTCTAATTGCTTTAGGTGCAAGGTTAGGTTGTTTATTCGAGATGTTTCCTGTTTCTTAAGGTAGGATTGTATTGCTATAAACTTCCCCCTTAGAACTGCTTTTGCTGCATCCCATAGATTTTGAGTCGTCGTTTCTCCATTGTCATTTGTTTCTAGGTATTTTTTGATTTCCTCTTTGATTTCTTCAGTGATCACTTCGTTATTAAGTAGTGTATTGTTTAGCCTTCATGTGTTTGTAGTTTTTACAGATATTTTCCTGTAATTGATATCTAGTCTCATAGCGTTGTGGTCGGAAAAGATACTTGATACAATTTCAATTTTCTTAAATTTACCAAGGCTTGATTTGTGACCCAAGATATGATCTATCCTGGAGAATGTTCCATGAGCACTTGAGAAAAATGTGTATTCTGTTGTTTTTGGATGGAATGTCCTATAAATATCAATTAAGTCCATCTTGTTTAATGTATCATTTAAAGCTTGTGTTTCCTTATTTATTTTCTTTTTGGATGATCTCTCCATTGGTGAAAGTGGGGTGTTAAAGTCCCCTACTATGAATGTGTCACTGTCGATTTCCCCTTTTATGGCTGTTAGTATTTGCCTTATGTATTGAGGTGCTCCTATGTTGGGTGCATAAATATTTACAATTGTTTTATCTTCTTCTTGGATCGATCCCTTGATCATTATATAGTGTCCTTCTTTGTCTCTTCTAATAGCCTTTATTTTAAAGTCTATTTTGTCTGATATGAGAATTGCTACTCCAGCTTTCTTTTGGTTTCCATTTGCATGGAATATCTTTTTCCATCCCCTTACTTTCAGTCTGTATGTGTCTCTAGGTCTGAAGTGGGCCTCTTGTAGACAGCATATGTATGGGTCTTGTTTTTGTATCCATTCAGCCAATCTGTGTCATTTGGTGGGAGCATTTATTCCATTTACATTTAAGGTAATTATCGATATGTATGTTCCTATTCCCATTTTCTTAATTGTTTTGGGTTCGTTATTGTAGGTCTTTTCCTTCTCTTGTATTTATTGCCTAGAGAAGTTCCTTTAGCATTTGTTGTAAAGCTAGTTTGGTGGTGCTGAACTCTCTCAGCTTTTGCTTGTCTGTAAAGGTTTTAATTTCTCCATCAAATCTGAATGAGATCCTTGCTGGGTAGAGTAACCTTTGTTGCAGGTTTTTCTCCTTCATCACTATAAACATGTCCTGCCAGTCCCTTCTGCCTTGCAGAGTTTCTGCTGAAAGATCAGCTGTTAACCTTATGGGGATTCCCTTGTGTGTTATTTGTTGTTTTTCCTTTGCTACTTTTAATATGTTTTCTTTGTATTTAATTTTTGA